CTGCTCCGATCAAACGATCCGCCTGAAATAGAGCTTTTTTACGATATAAAGTATGTTATTAGGGGGTACGTCAGTCGCTCGCAATATATTCCCGAGTGATTCTAGGCAATCGTGGAAAAATTAAACCGGACGGACTATACCGCTCTCGTGCTCTCGCCCTTCGTCAGCGTGGTATACCCGCACCAGGAGGTGTGCTTTCTCCCCAGACCTCTCACGTTGCCTATCCCACACCCTTGGCTTCAACCCGTTTGGTTGGACGGCCACCCGGGTGGATGACGATAAGAGTAGAGTGCTTGGGAGCGTCAGTTGGTGCTTGGCGGGTTTCGGGCAGCAGCTAAAGTCGATCGATGATTTCCCTGGCGTCAACTGCTCTGCCCGTTGACACACTGGTGTTCCCCGCCGCTGGTGTGACCATCACTGACGACGGCCCGTCGCAAGATCCCTTTGTATGGTCATGCTCCGTTTAACGTTCACTCACGCCGCCATCCACCAACCACCCTCATTCAACTAACAGGGAACGATCGTTGTTCAAGCGGCGGGGTTAACGATGGCCGTCTTCCTGGGGCTGACGCTGTTCACTTTCCAAACCAAGATCGACTTCTCCTTCCTCGGGGGGGCATTGTTCGCGAGCATCTGGGTGCTGTTGCTGTGGGGGGTCGTCATGTCGGTCTTTGGCTTCCAGCAGAGCTACCTCTACTCCCTGTTCGGCGCGATCATCTTCTCGCTCTACATCCTCTACGACACCAGCCTGCTCATGAATCACCTGGTGCGTGCTCATGGTGCTCATTTTTGCCGCTTGTTCGAGCATGTTGGTGGTGTTAGCAGGCATTGATCTCTGTGTGCTATACCGTTGGAGAATAAGTCCCGGGTAATTTTCTGCAAAAGGTACTTTGGCATCGCATGTACAATGTCTGCCAGGTCCCGCGCCCAATTCGTAATACCTCAAGCGATGCATAAAATCCGGTATCTCCTCCCCCGCGCTGCGCACACATTCCGATCACACGTTTTTTTGTTGTGGGCAGGGATACGACGAGTACATCATCGCCTCCATCAGCCTCTACCTCGACATTCTCAAGTGAGAGCTGGTGTTGTTGGTGTTGTTGTGCATTACTCACGCCACGAGATATTAGGAGGAGACTGGCTGAATACCTTACCGCTGCAGGAACCATCCATATGTGGAGTTGTTGATTTTCTGTACCTTTTTCGTCTCTAGCGTGGACATCGACGCTATCTGTTGTTGGTGGTGTGTCCTCTCTCTACTGGTGGTAGTTGACGCACCTTAATTTTGTCGTCGTTGCCGCCTTTGGGGTTGCTTCCATGGTGATAGCCGTTGCAGCCAGGTGAGTGGTTCCAAATGCGACAGCACCATCACAATGTCCAACATCAAGTAAAGATAATGTGGGAATGGTCTGAGTTTTCGTCCAATTGATTGCCACGTGCGTTAACCTAAAGATGAGCCTTCTGCTCTACATGTATTGTACATGGAAACAATATTAATTGCCCGAACAAAATCCAGCCCTGTCTGATCAATAGATGAAATCTAGGGCCCAGTGCTTTCGAGGCAAGCACCACTTGAAAACATCCGTTCTCGTACGACACACATCTATCAACCGTATGTAGATTGCGTGTTGTGGGCCGTGTTGTGAAGGTTGCACAACACGCTTGCTTGCGTCTTGGCGCTCACCGGAGGTTCAGCAGTATTGCTACCACCTGGCATGACGATCGATAGCATGCTGAATCAGAAAATACGCCAAGAACGGGGTTTGGCGCCTACCAGGAGGAGTTGGGGTATGCGACGAGCGCGTTGTCTGTGCGGGGTGGCAGGGAGGCAACGGTACCTTCCTCGCAGGAGGATCATGTCGATCATAGCACACAGCTTCCGGTAGGTTGACATGACAATTTGCACAGCAGACCCTTGCTGTTCAGCAAGTATTGTCGAAGGTTATGTTGTCAGCAATCGCCAAGTGACCCAAGGCAGACTTCAAATTAGCATTATCGCAACCCCTCCCTGCCCGGCACGCGCGCGAACACTCACAGCCTATTCCTGTACATCCTGAGGCTCCTTTCCAGCAACAACCGGTGATGGGACCGTGGTTCGTTGTACCACTGCATGCCGAGGAATGGCAGTGAGGAATCGCACTGCCCTTGTTTTATCCAGCGTTGTCATCCGGACAACATGGTTGGAATTGGAGCGTCGTGAATGTATAGTATGTAAGTGATGGTGTTGAACCCAGAGCCTGCGCATGATATCAAGTGGCGGCAGCTCTCCGGGACTTGGCCCTCACGAGCGTCTGACCTTCCCAAAATATACATGGGTGTCTTTGGATTGAATCACTTACGGAGGGGGTGGGGGCCACAGCGCAAAAGGTGGACGTTGGTGTGGATTTGTGGTCAATCAGAATTGATCGTCACCCAGTGTTGGACAGTACGCGGGCGAATATTCCGAGGGTACGCTGGCGTGATTGTTGTGAACTTTTTTTTGCGTTGTGGGCGATGACACGAAGTATGACACGAAAAGGGGTGGCTCGTTGCTGAACGATGTGCCTTGCCTGACGGATTTGCCTGGTTGCTCGTGATGCTGAGATTTTGTGACTATCGATCGGACGTCATATACGGAAGGCAAGGAAGCGGTGGACCCTGCACCGCGTACGAAGGCAATCTTGGTGCTCGACGGCGGCGACGAAAGCTATAGGCATGGCATGGACCCAAAATAAAATTTGTATTGTCCGGGTTCAGCCCTGTACCTTCGTTTTTTCCAAGCTCGAAATCGTTTTCATACACGGCTTCAACACTAGTTTGGGCACAGGCATGGCCGATTAGGCCGATGTCTTCTGCTTCTTCATTACCCCCCAATAATCCCGCGGAGTCGCGCATTCCTCCGATGCGATACAACCGGGACGTTCCCCGATGCTTTTCACCGGAGAGGTGTGTCCTTTTGTAGGACGACCCCAAGACTGGGAACTCATGGGGCGATAACACCGAGATTCAAAATTCAAGCGACTGATCGATGCACAGACAGGAAAGACTCCTTCTGCCACGAACGGGATCTCCTCTGCTTCCTGTAGCGCGGCCCCAGGTCCATACGACACAACTGTCTTAAGCACGGGGAAAGGATGTCGCCCGAAGGTGTCTGGCAAGAGTACGGTAGACGCATGAAACGAAGTCGTCTCACAGGCATTAGCCTAGGTGAGCAGCTGATGCGGGTACGTCGCGCGCATTTAGGCGTTTGCGTGCAAGGGGCCTCGAGCGGACACGATTTGGAGCCGCTATACTTTTTCGACCCAGCACCTTCACGGTCGAGTTTCTCTCGTCGCACAATATGCCGAGCGCAACTCGACTTCGATGAGCTACACGAACCTTCGTGACACCATAGAGGACAGACAGAAACGGTTCCTGAATTGCGAAGACAACGACAGATACGCACACGCAAACTGTGGGTGCCCCTACAGTGAAGAAAACCAACGGCCCCTTGCTTCTTTTTAAGACGCGACGCTCCCCTACATTCATTCTTTTGCAAACGTTGTGACCGGAAAAGTGTCCCTCAAAACTGCTCCAAACTGTTCCGCCAACCAGTCAATAAATCATGACGACCTCCTCCCACAGCGATCAGACTAGAGGAAGAGTCTACACCAATTATCTAGGGAAAATGATGTGCAAACGACATGACTCCTCGTCCTGTCAGCTATGCTGCACATCTCGTACGCCAACACACCGACTCTCACCGACTGGCCGGAAGCTCTGAGGATAGCTAAAGGATATTTCAGGGATAACTCCCGGCGAACGGTTTTCCCGGACGACAATTAAGTCCGACATACACCGGCTACGTTCGTCCAATCAATACGGCACGACTGGCGAAACGGTTTGTTCACCCTGCCCGGCGGAGGAAACTACCACGAATGACATCATATTGTGGCGCCCGACCGCGCCGCGCAACACAAAAAAGTGTTTCAGTGATAATCTCAACGCTTGTGGGAAAAAAATGAATTTCGTTTTCGCCGTGTACCGGGTCACCTTTTTTCAATGGTCCGCTCACGTCCAATGCTACATTACAGAAAATCCTACTTTGAATTTTGAAGCAAACAATGCAGCACCTCAATGTACCACACCAACCAATGGTTCCGCTTCGACATGGAGCAACCACCGAAATGTTTGGTTTGGATGCCCCAACCACACATACTGTAGCCCTTTGGCAGCAGTCAAAACATTTGCGTGTGTCCCCTCGTGAAGAAAGGCTACGAAGAAAAGCCCCTTCGCCATCAGTACCAAACCATATACGAAGAAATCCACCGCCTCAAACGACGTGGGCATCTTGCGGGATGTGGTCGCTCGAACGCTGTTGAGGCGATGATATGGACGAAATTGTGTCGGCCCGTTTTCTTGCCACCAACACCGCGTGCCCCGCCACCACCGTTGCCGCAACCGGCGACCCGCGGGAGGAGAACCCACCGCTCGCCTCGCCCGACTCTGTCGAAGATGCGCTATAGCACATTTCGTCTTCGTGACCACCGAAACCTGGGCTGATTCCGGCCGAACGTAAAACGGCAGCGCGGCGACCTCCATTTGTGTTGGTTGATGCAATTTATCTCGCCTCCTCCACCGCCGCCGCCGCCGCCGCGTACTCTTCCGCAACCGACATGAAAACAGGTGTACCGGCGGAGGAGAAACTGTGGCGTCCCGTGCCCGACTCGGTCGAAGATGCGCTAGAGCATATTTTGTCTCCGTCACCACCCCAAGCCTGGGCTGGTTCCCGCCGAATGCGAGAGCGGTAAAGCGGCATCACGTTGACCTCCATTTGCGTTGGTTGATGCCATTTTGCTCACAGTTACTGCCGCATCTTCCGCAGCCGACGCGAAAACAGGCGAACCGGCGGAGGAGAAACTGTCGCGCCCCGTGCCCGACTCGGTCGAAAATGTGCTGCAGCACAAAATGTCGTCGTTGTTACCGGAATTTGGACTCACTTCCGCTGAACGTAGTAACGGAAAAAGACAAGCATTTGAACTTCACAAGTAATCACCGCCACCGACGCTGCCCAAACTGTGGCGGTCAGGCTTCTCTCCATGTGGGGATTGTCGACTCACGAGCACCAGGCCGCTTGTTTGGTGGCCCATGATGGCGAAGAACTCGCCCTCGATTTCGTTGTCGGGACTGTAGCACATGTCGTCGTCCGGCTCCTTTGGCATTTGGTCGGCCCATCTTGTCGAAGACGCCGATTCGCAGAGACCAAGATCCACAGGACCGGCGCCGCCACGGGAAGGAGAACGGCTGCTGGCCGTTCGTGGAGACAAAGCACGGGCGTCCCGCCCATCTGCTGCTACTCCGCTGGCCGTGTTGCCGGCGGTGACTTGCACTTGTCTCTCTCCATCGCAAAGCAGGGTGTCAGGTTGGCAGCGCCGATCCGCCGGAACGGTCGCACCCTCCCCAGGCGAGGTCGTGCCGGAGACCATTGACAATAATGTGGGTTGAACCTGCAGTGGTGACGTCGGCAATTCGCGGGAACCGGATCTGTAAATCCTGGGCGACGTGACATGTTTCCCGATCGGGACCGTGACCGTCTCTTCTTCCACCAGACTGTCGTCGGAGAAGCGTTCCATCCCGCTGTCGAAGACATCATCTCTGACGGCTTCCTGTGGAGGAACCCGTACATCCGAAACGTCACCGCGGTGGATAGCGAAGGGCGGAAGGCCCGGTCCGTCTTCGTCCACAGGCGTCTCGTCGCTACCGCTGGAACTTGGGATGATTGTCTCTGCGAGTTAAAAGCCGTTATCGCTGGCATCGGTGTCGGCGTCGGTGTCGGCGTCGGTGTCGGCGTCGGCGTCGGCGTCGGTGGCGATGCAGCCTGGACCCTCGACGGTCGATCGAACGTTCGCCTGCGGTTTCTCGCGAAGTTTCTTTCGGTTTTGAGGGAGCACGAACGGCCTTTCGTCTTCGTAGCTCGGGTGACGCATAGTGTACAGATCCTCGTGGAGATGGTAAGGCTGCGCCAACGAGTTACCCATGTCACCACCTGCCTTGAGATCCCCGCTAGCTACCCCAGTGGCGCGGGCGGCAGCCATCCCGTCAGCGCGGCAGTCCTGCGGGGTGGACAGAGAAGCCGGTCGGACCGCCACAAGCGTCGCGATACGGAGCAGCAGTTGTGGCGGAAACGCCAAAAAACCCTGGAAATATACCCGCAAGTCGGAAAGAACTTAGACGACTATGCCACATAGCAGGGGGGACAGCCGTTCAACGACAACGCACAGAGCGAAGGGTTCATCCTGCACAACGAAGTGGCAATAGGATAAATATTTCTCCTGAAAGTTACCAGTCCAGAAGGTGTTCGAGTACGTGTCATCCAACGCAACCGGCTTAACAAGGTAATCACAAAACGAATTCCTGAATGATGGACTTCCTCCGTCAACGGGAGCGCTTTCTTTGGGTAGGAACGGCTATTTCGGTATTACTATACTCAGCCAACGCGACATAGTTACTCTCAGACGTTGTTCTTCCCAAAAGGCTAGTATGGAGTTTCCTTTCACTGCATCACTTGATGGACTCGGCGATCCGCTGCACTGCGGCATTACCGCAACGCCCAACGGCGACGCCCGTCGGGATGCCGGCGCGACAGGCAGAATAGCCCGATCAGCGTGACGAGGCCCATCGAGACGACAGCCAACAGCCAGAACAAGTTTGTGCAGACACACGGCGTGCTCACGGTGAGTTGACGATGCCCCCGTGGGCGGAGGTCCGCGGAGGACATGCCGACCCCACTGCTGCCGCGAAGCACGGTGGAGTTGTCGTCATCCACGTTGGTGTCGCGTCTGAGGAAGCTGCAGTCAGTCTTCTGCTCAAGGGTAGGGGTAACGAGAAACAGCAAGCGTTGGGATGAGGGTGGCGAACTTAGCGTGATGTGTGACGGCATCAGTCCCCCAAGACGAGCTGAACATACGTACCTCCTACCGTTGCCCGCCCATGGAGAAGGGACCCTGAGGAGGTCAACACGTTAGCCTGCCTCGCCCAGGATCGTCATAATCCAAAACTCAAACCAATACTCCCACGGGGCAAGAAGTCTTTTCGGTTAGAAAATATAGTATAGAATACACTTTCGAAGCAGTTGGAGAAAAACGTCCATGCCTCGAGCAAATAAGTGTGTGTTTTCGTCCTACTTACGATGGTGACAGTCCCCCCATTTTTCGTGGTGAGACGTTACTACACTCTTCAGTGTATGAAGAGTACTGCGCTTTTCATGATATTTTTGCGTACAACTACAACCATCCGGGGTCACGCAGGAGGGGGTAAACACCGGGTCTTTTTCTTTGTTTACATTTTCGTGCCCCGCTTTCCTCCTGCGGTGCGTGCTGATCTTTCTTTTCTATCGCGAAAAGCTAGGGCAGTGACAATCTAATGTTCGGCTGCGGGGACAATTTGTTGCTCCTGGTCAGATCCCTTTGGGGCTGGAGGCTTCTACTGCCGGCGTTCTCAACCTCTCTCCGAAAGGATCCCCGGCCGGTGATCGTAAGAGGCCCGCTCCTTGTGTTCAAGGCTGTCTGCAGGTTGAAACGAATATTTTGCACTTTGAACCCCCACCCCCACCACCACTACCCTTGGCCAACTCAAGGGAGAGTACGGGCTATACGCTGCTTTCCATGGAGTGCGGCGCACCCTGTAGTTGAGGCTTTGAACTAAGGAAACGACAAGGCGATGGAAATAATTCCGTTCCGCGCAACACTACACCACGGTCCTGCAATCGAGAAACATATCTTTTGGTGGTCGGGACTTAGCTGTTTCTTGTTTAGTCGCCAGCGTCCAGTGCAGGGTACCATATGGTAGAAAACTTATGGTAAGGTCGAGCGCTGAGCTATGGTTCTCAACCGTATTACGCTCTTTTTTCGCGAACCTTGACGCTAAGAGGCTTACGGACTCTTTCGCTGTCGCTGGACCATTCTGTACAGCGTCGGTTATGGCCAGCCCTGAACCGACGTGCTAGAAGTACGACGTCGGGCAACAGACCCCTTACTATAGAGACAAGGGTCGTGGAAATATAGCGTATCATCCCTTGACCCTATAACACGACGGTCAACGCGTTTCGGCAAGGGAAGCTGTGGATGCTTTAAATGTAGGTGGTGAAAGTTTGCTCTAAATGTAGGACTACATTTTCATGTATTACAGACGATCGCGCCGCCTGGCTGCATGTTGCCGTGATCTTCAGACACACAGCGAGTTTGGCAGATACCGAGCAGATGTTCGTCGTCCACAAACGGAGAGCCTATTTTCTTACGTTGTCATGGTTGATACAAATACACATTGACACTGGTTGAAGAACAGGAAAGACCACCAGGCCAACCTAGCCACACACACACGAAAAGCACATGAGCAGCGGGAGAGAGCTCCTAAATGTGCTCATATGCAAGAGCCCCTGGGAAGAAAGAAATCGAAAGCTTGGAGCAAGGCCACATCGCTATCACCGCCACTTGTGCCGTACGACGGGAGACACGGCTAACTCCGGCCACAACGTGTAAGATTTTGTACGGAAATCGGAGTACGACGAACAAGAAAACCCACCCAAGATTTTGGTGCATGCTTCCGCTTCTAGGGCGATGCGATGTGATTCATCTGCGGGTTAAAAGCCAGAAAGACGGCCAATGCGGCGGAGGAGCTACCACCGGTATACCGTGAAGGAGGAAGCAACAAGGTGGAGGAGTGTACCATAGAATATCTGTAGTCACTACCAATAGGAACTCTCCGCGGATGCCTTTGCGTTCCTCGAAAACCACCGCCCCATCTCTGTGCCCGGTTACCCCAACGCCGTGCCCGGTCAAAGCCTCATCCGAACTAACGGAGCATCCCCGGGAAAAGGAAACCGTTAGTCCCACCGCAGCGCTGCTCCCGTGATCGGCGGTTTTGTGGGACGTATTCTTGCGTGGATGCGACGCCTTTGTGTGAAACGAAGATTTCTCGATCCCCACCGCCCCGCCATTGGTGTAGGAGGCCGATCCCCCTCTCCGACTTCTCTGGGGGGGGGGGGGAGCGGGGGGGTACTCAAAGTCGTGCATGCCGTAGTCGTTGGACCATTGACTTCGCATCCCTGCAAAGCCGGGACGGAGCACGCCGGGTTCTCACCGGACCAGGCTCTCACATCACTAAGCGCGAAGCGGCGTGAGATATTCGGCGAGTCGCATGAAGGGTGCGCTGCATCCTGCTAAGGGTTTTCGGCATCTTGTGCTTACTTCCTTGCGTACGGATGACAGCTGCGTATGAATTAATTTATTTTCTGGTGCTTTCACTTCCAGAGACAGTTGAAAGCACTGTGAAACTGCCTCGAGAGTGCTTGACCAACATGACACAACGTGGTGCGATCATCCGCCTTGGGCGGAGCGAGGGTTTTCCATTGCGCACAACATGATCTACTCGACCATCATTGTGGATACCGCCAAAAAAAACAGAGGTAAACAAAATCGGTAACCTGGTTGCCGGTTTCACGAAGTGAATTGGCTTGTATAACAACGTCGTTGCCAAGGCACGAAAACCCAATCCCGATGGCAAACACCGAGGGAGGGGGAGCGGGGGTGTACTCATAGTCGTGCATGCCGTAGTCGTTGGGCCCCCGACCTCGCATCCCTACAAAGCCGGGACGGAGCACGCCGGGTTCTCTCCGGACCAGGCTCTCACATCACCAAGCGCGAAGCGCCGTGAGATATTCGGCGAGTCGCATGAAGGGTGCGCTGCATCCTGCTAAGGGTTTTCGGCATCTTGTGCTTACTTCCTTGCGTACGGATGACAGCTGCGTATGAATTAATTTATTTTCTGGTGCTTTCACTTCCAGAGACAGTTGTAAGCACTGTGTAACTGCCTCGAGGGTGCTTGACCATTTTAACACAACGTGGTGCGATCATCCCCCTTGCGCGGAGTGAGGGTTCACCCCGCACAACATGATCTACTCAACCATCATTATGGTTACCGCCCAAAAAAAATAAACGGAGGAAAAAAAAAAAAACGGTAACCTGGTTGCCGAGTTCACGAAGTGAATTGGCTTGTTTTACAACGTCGTTGCCAAGCGACGAAAACCCAATCCCGATAGGCAAACACCGGAGGGGGGGGGGTGTACTCATAGTCGTGCATGCCGTAGTCGTTAGACCATTGACCTCGCATCCCTACAAAGCCGGGACGGAGCACGCCGGGTTCTCACCGGACCAGGCTCTCACATCACCAAGCGCGAAGCGCCGTGAGATATTCGGCGAGTTGCATGCAGGGTGCGCTGCATCCTACTAAGGGTGTTCGGCATCTTGTGCTTACTTCCTTGCATAATGATGACAGCTGCGTATCCCTTAGTCTATTTTCTGGTGCTTTCACTTCCAGAGACAGTATGATGCACTGTGTGACTGCTTCGAGGGTGCTTGACCACTTGGACACAACGTGGTGCGATCATCCGCCTAGCGCGGAGNGTGCTTACTTCCTTGCATAATGATGACAGCTGCGTATCCCTTAGTCTATTTTCTGGTGCTTTCACTTCCAGAGACAGTATGATGCACTGTGTGACTGCTTCGAGGGTGCTTGACCACTTGGACACAACGTGGTGCGATCATCCGCCTAACGCGGAGTGAGGGTTCTCCATCCCGCACATGATCTGCTCGACCATCATTGTGGTTACCGCCAACAAATATCCAGAGGTAATCAAAGAAAAACGGTAACCTGGTTGCCGAGTTAACAAAGTGAATTGGTTTGTTTTACAACGTCGTTGCCAAGGCACGAAAACCCAATCCTGATTGCAAACACCGATGGCAGGACTTGTTTTTCAACGTCGTTGCCCAGCGACGAAAACTCAACCCCCATGGTAAAGAGCAAGGCGGGGCGCTCTACGGGGGGCGTGGGGTGTACTCATGGTCATGCATGCCGTAACTGTTAGACCCCTGACCTCGCATCCCTACTTAGCCGGGACGGAGCACGCCGGGTTATCACCAGATCAGGCTCTCAGATCACCAAGCGCGAAACGCCGTAAGATATTCGGTGAGTCGCATGAAGGGTGCGGTGCATCTCGCTAAAGGTGTTCGGCATCTTGTGCTTACTTCCTTGCCTACGGATGACAGCTGCGTATGA